CCAGTGTGTAATGTGTTAGACATCACATCAGGTGTCTTTACTTCCCAGGACTAGGCTTGGACCCATTTAAGGCTTGTTCGGTATGGGAGCCAAAAACAATTTTTTAGAACAAGTCCGGCTACGTCAGGGCCCGAACCCACGACCTTCCGATCAACAAGCGAGAGTCTAGCGGCTACATCACTACGGCTGCGGCTATACCATCTATTGAATTGTTAATTCAAAACTATTTCTATTATCGTACTAAAGAAATTGAGGTGAACTGCATAGGAGGGACAGGAACCCACGAAAGAAACTGTCCTATATGTCAGTGCCCTAGTATATATAAAGATCTAACAGTTGAACAGAAATATCTGTCACGTGACACACGGCACTATACCATACTGGTATTCCCATTGTAAAAGTTAAAGTAAAGTAAAGGACCCTTTTCGACGCATTAAGGCGTATAAGGCATATAGGGCTAGACTTATATTTTTATAGACCAATCGGCCCAAGATGGGTCAGCATCACGACGGCCGCCTTTACTTCCTGGGACTGCACCCGGTACCCACTCAAGGCTGAGTCGACCTGGGATATTCCCATTGCGCTAGAGTTAATTTAGTCACACACACACAAAAACACACACCCACACTGACACCCCCCCCCACACACACACCCACACACACCCACACACACACACACACACACACACACACACACTGGTGCACTAGACAGAGGTGGGTGTGGAAAAAAAACCTGTGAGGCGAGGTTTGACGTTTGAACAGCGGATCAACATCACGGCATACGGGTAATAACCTATAAGTGCTCCTTTTTTTTTTTCTAACTCATGTCTGAGTCCGAAGAAGCTCAACACAGTGTACATACTCTGTAGCAAAGGCGAGGATCCTGGAATACTTTGGATAGATTTTTAACTACAGTTAGGCTACTCTTTTTGATTTCCAGCTGCACCCGGGCGTTCGATCTCACTACCCAGAGACCAGGGGGAATTACTATTAGTCACAGTCTATGTGAACAAATGGCAGATCTTATAGGGGATTGAACCCGGAACCTCTAGCACTGGTGGCGGACACCATGCCTCGAGGCCACGCAGCTCCCCGAGGCTAGGGTCATTCTAGGACAGTTAAAGTTATCACATCCGGATTTACCTGTTGGCCGGAAGTTCCCTGGCCAAAGTTCTCAGTAGTGGCCAGGAGCCATTGTTGCACAGGTTGCTGAAGTCATCGTGCTCTAGCGACCAGAACATGACGCCAGCCAAGCCAAGTTCTCGGATGAAAGTAGCCTAGAGATACATTGAAGTAAAAAAGTAAGTAAAGTAAAGATCCCTTTTCACTCCTTAGGCGCGTCGGGTATATGGAAAGTGCGTCCAATATTTTTACAGACCAATCGGCACTGGATGCGTAATGTGGTCAGCATTACGCCGGCCGTCTTTACTTTCGCCGGACAGCTATCTTAGGCTGGATCGACCTGCGACGCCCCATACCATGATAAAAATCCACGCAGCCAGAAGTGGGTTTCGATCGCCCTATGTTGGAATTACGAGTCGGACTCGCAACGCCGAAGCTTCGAACGACGCACATTGAAGTAAATAGCCAAGTTCATTCGACGTCAAATAAAAATTTGTTGCTAGTCACATTTCTATAGCGTCGACACCAACTGCAAATGTGATTACTGTTATCCAGACCCTATCACTTTTTGTTAAACAACAGACTCTCTTTTTGCTATTGGCTTGTCCGGTATTTCATATTAGAACCACAATGTTTCAGACCAATCAGCCCTCACTGAGTGATGTGATTGACATCATATCTGCTGTCTTTTCTTCCCAAGATATTTCTTAGTATCGCTTTTATGTTGAGCCTCAATGAGTCTAAAATCTTTTACTGAAAAAAAAAAAAAAAAATCGAACCGAAGAACTTTAGACAGGCAGAGAAATCTGGTCACTGCGTTACCGCTGCTCCAAGTTCTTGTAATTTTTTTTTTTTTTAAACTTCACATAGTAGTTACTGATCCAAATCTAATGCGAAGTGGACATATGAGCCCAAGACAATTTATAAAAATGTCCCCGTGTCGATGTGGGTTGGAGCACATGACGAGCGGCAGAGAGGCGAGAGTGACGGCCGCTATGCCACTGTTGCTTCCTTCATCCCAGTGAGATGTTGTTTACCATGTTTTGTGAGGCTAGGTAATCCAGTTGTCTCCAACCTTTTTCAGCACCTCCCCCATCCCCACTTCCCCGAGTATATGGCGAGACCTTCATGCCATCTGCTCTAACATTTAATAAAACAGTGTAAAAAGAGGACAATATATTCGGCAAAACAGAGAAACAGAGAATGGAGTTAAGTTTCAGAATGTGTTCTTAATCTACAGTTAAATGCCTGTGCTATCTTATTATTAGATTTTTAACTGACGATATACAAACTGCTCACAAAAATCAAGAAAATGTTCTCTTTTTTTTAATTTTCATTTTTAACTGTATAAATAGTGTGGCAACAGTAGCTGATGGCACTAAATACTAACTAGAATATATAAAGTATGTGATGATCCCATGCTATCTTCCTAAGAGATAGCTGTAGAAGGGGGGGGGGGGGGAAGCATTCCTGATCATCTGTGTTTTAACGGAGCAATCGGGGAGGCAATGAGTAGTATGCGTGTAACATACTATCTATCTATTTAGGAAAGAACAAAACAAAACAAAAACAACCACGTTCGACAAACTGTAAGCAGTGTCGATTTATGATGGCTGACTTCCGTGTAGACTAGCACACCTGGTAGAAAACTGGCTACAAAATCCTACCAAGTTTAAGTAGTACTAAAAGTGGAACAGACATAAAACAATCAATCAAGGGGTACGATGGATCTTCTGCTAGACATATTATAAATCAATACAGAGAATGGCGTTTGACCAGTCAACATACTTCCTTTCACCTAGGAAAATCTGCAGAACTACATCTATAATGATAGAGCTATATATGGACTGGCACAGAGAGTATACGTGGTACAGGAACATAAAACTGTGTGGTTATAATAGATACAAATATTATTTCAAAGAGGAATTCCAATAAATCATGCAACAGTTAACAGAAGTAGGTAATACCGAAAACTGCTGACAACCGGTTAAACGATTTAAGAATTCACCTCTAGAAGATCTCGGAAAAGGAGAATGGAAGCATCATCAAAACCTACGAAATCCTAAAACCAAGGAAGAGATGAATGACAAAAACAAAGAGAGTAAGGTCAGAAGCTACTGAAAAATACACAGAAGCTAATAAATAAGTTAGGAAGCCGCAACAGTTAAAGACAATGTTTGGTAGAAAAGACTTGACAGCCAGAAGAAGGAGCAGGGACAGAACAGCTGAAGACAACCACAAAATTTGTAAGAACATACAATTAATCGAGTTAAAAGTACACACTCTTTTGGCTCATCAAGTAAACGGGGTTAGACTGATATTTGTAAAGACCAATTAGCATACGACAGGGAATGGATTTGGTCGAAATCACGTCCACCCCCCGCCCCCCCCCCCACACCCCCACACTTTCATGAACATTTTATAGTATCAGTTTAGAGTGTGTAATGGGGCAACTATCTCCCCTGTTGACACACAAGCAGATACCTCGGAGTACTAATGTGAATCTTATCAGAACCATTTTTTGGCCAAACTATGCTATCAATGACAAACATAGACACTTACATCCTCCAATGAGCCTTAGAAGAGCTGCAGGAGTTTCGAGGAAAGACAGAATACGAAATCATGAAATCAGACGAATGCTAGGAATAAAGCCAGTCTTACAGGTCATCAAAGAACAACAATTGAAGTGGTTTGGACACCTAACAAGAGTGCCCTGGTACTATCTGCCAAAGCGAGCAACACTAAAACGTTACAAAGGGTATAGAGCGAGTGGAAGACCTCGGAAAATATGGAGTGATGGCATTAAAAACAGCCTTACAGAAATTAACATCAGTCCTAATAGTGCTCTTAACAGAGCTTATCAACGAACATTACATCTCCCCCGACACTTGGATGAGGTACAAGGTGGAACAGAAGAAGAATAAGTTTAGAGTGTATGAGGACATAAGATATATGCCAGTCCGAATTTTTTTCGAAAATATCAAATCCTCCAGTCAGGAAGCATGCGAATGTCAACAGAGATACATTTCTTCAGAAGTGTACACTTCAAAATATACTTTACCTTTTCTGTCAAGCTCTGCGGGTCATCATAACCCACCCACTGCCAGCCTGCACTGGTGTTGCCAAAAGCCACTGGGACACCCCTGTCTGGCAACCAGATTCTTGTCCAGTTATCGCGTGTAATGTACAGACATATCTGTCAAAACATTGGCAAGAGGCGTTGCTCAACACGGCATACTATATGTATATATATATATAAATATATGTGTATATATATATATATATATATATATATATATATATATATATATATATATATATATATATATATATATATATATAAAAGAACATAATTAAGGAATGAAAATCATTGACCCACACAAGTTTTACGGAAACGTCAAGCCATTTAACGTCAAACTTTAAGTGTCTAACCATTCACAAGTCATACAGTCAGTGTCTAACCATTCACAAGTCATACACTCAGTGTCTAACCACTCACAAGTCATACACTCAGTGTCTAACTACTCACAAGTCATACACTCAGTGTCTAACCACTCACAAGTCATACACTCAGTGTCTAACTACTCACAAGTCATACAGTCAGTGACTAACCACTCACAAGGATAACATTGATGAAATAATATCAAGTAATTAAAGTTCTAGATATAGTTTTCTTCCTCAGAAAAACAGGTAAGTTTATACTGATTTGTGTTTTTAAATGTGGTTTAAAAGTGTTTTAGGTTTTAAAAATACAATAAGACCAGAGGTCGGGAAATGTGTATACCCGCCTATTTGCAGAAGGTAAAAAGCCCCGGATATCGATTCACAGCACAGAATGGCAGAACAAAAAATCTAATTTATAGATCGCATCACATTAAGTCAAGAATCCTGTCTACAGCTCGCAATCAGCCGCCTGGATGCAAAACAAAGAATTGTTTTCTGTTGTGGCTCATTAGCCGTTAGCCGATGTTTCAGCTTCACTGCAGATGGGTTGTCACATAAGTGGTCCGTTTCTGTACCAGTGGACTTAATCTGGTCATTTCCTTGTAAGATGCAATGTTTTGTTATTTGAAGCCCTACTCTGGCTCTTGCCAGGGGGCTGCAATATAGACCGGCCATAAATATGGTCTAATGGCTGAACAAGGTTTCTGGGACCTCTCCACGGGTGATTCTCATCCACATGGTGGCACTTTGTGTTATCGGGTGTTTATCGCTTGTGTGATGTCTTAGTGGGGTAAAAGAAGATAGCTAGATAGGTACCGGTGGATATCACACACACTGTCCTTTATTGTCCAGTTAGAAAACTAGTGAAAATCATTTGAGCTACGAAAATCTAAAAGCTTGCATATAAAACGTAAATGCATAAGGCATACGTCACACTTTAAGGGGTCACAAATGTAGGCTCTAAGATGTCTGCCATACTTGAGACAGACATGTGACCCCTAGATCCCAGTTGTAACAACGCAAATATTCAGTTTCTATTTCATTCTTGATATAAAGAAGATTAGGTCGTATTTCATGGAAACAACAGCTATCAAATACAGAGGTACTGAGGAAATTGGGAATGAAAAGAGAGTTGCTAGGTGAAATAAAAAAAGAGACAAATGAAATATTTTGGTCACATTAAAAGACATAACAGTATTGTAAAGATCATCCTAGAGGGAAAGGTTCAAGGTAGGCGATCAAGAGGCAGACAGCGTTACAAGTGGGAAGATAACATCAAGAGATGGACGAACAGCAGAATGAATGAGTGTACATCAAGGGCAAGAGACAGGGCTTGTTGGAGATCCATTGCAGCCAACCTTCATTGTGGAGACGGCACCTGATTGATTGATTTCATTCTTGACTTGTAGCCGTAATAAGGGCAGTGTGTATTCTGAAGACTGAATTAATCTAAAAACTTAGGTGTTCTGAGACAATATTTTAAAATGTTTGCTGTTGATAACATAATTATTTAGTAATAATTACAATGAAATCAAACTAATAATGTGTGTTCTATCTTAAATCGTTATAGGACGCAAAGTTTTGTTATTTCAAAGCCCCACCCGGCTGTGGTCGGGGGCCCTAATTATAATCTGTGAGCTGAACTGTGTTTCTGGGACTTGGGGTGATTCTCATCTGTATGGTGGCACTTTGTGTCACCGGGTGCTTCTCGTTCACTGTACAGTTCTGGTGGAGTTAAACGTCAGTCCCTCAGTCAGCCTCATTTCACCACAATGTTGTTTGTTTTCGTTTGCGTTCACCGCCCGTAAACTCTGTTGGAAAGACCTGGTTGTTCGTCTATTTCTTGACTTTAATTACTTAATAAAGAAAATGTATGCAATTTGTATGCAGACTGTTGGTTCCTTGCCTCTCGGACAGATGCACTTTGAAAGTGACACCTCATTAGTAGCTGGCGTCTAGTGACTGCTCCACTGCCGCTTAAAGTGCATAAGACAAGTTTTGAGAGGTATTGCAGAAATTCCTAAATAAGACAATTAGGACAGGTCTAAAAAGTCAAAATAATATATGGGCTGCAGGACACCTGTGGAATAATAAGAGAAGGACGCAATTTGAAAAAAATTGTTTGAGGAAGAAGCGCTGTGAGTAACAAGATTGTGCTCTGAGGGGAAGAGATAATATGAGAAATGTGCACTATTCTTGTTCGAGGGGAAAAACACACAGTATTTTTACTGATTAATCTGCTTACACAAGACTGGCTCCATAGAACGCTCGCTGAGTTATACAGTCAATTATTTTAGTTTCCGACTCAAGTAAACCCAGTTTAATTTTTTTACTAGTAATTTACATGCAATTACTTAGTAAATTTATGTTTATCTTCTTTTTCTTCACTTCATCTTTTACCGCTGTGGGTGTCGAGGGAGATATAAGGTTCTGTTTCTAGCTCTTCTTGCCGCCTCGACCATAGGCACGTCGTGCTGTTGTAGAGTTTCTCTGATGTCATCCTTCCATCTTGTTCTTGGTCTACCTCGTGCTCTACGTCCTTCTTCTCTTTCCATATTTATCAATGTAATCAAATCTATACATATAAAGAGGAGCCTTAGGGGCCAGACGCTCGCCTCTGGCCCGAAGTTTGTAGTTTTAAATCCGCACCGAGTCGGATTTCCCCACTTCAAAAAATGACCTTGATTTTCAGGTTCACCCAACTTGAGATGGGTATCTGGTGAAATCCTGGGAAGTAAAAGCAGTCAGCGTGATGCTGAAACCTCACCCACCGAGTGCCAGTTGTCTATAAATGATGCGACTAGCAGTTTTCGTCCAGTAGCCTAATAGAGTTTGAAAAAAAAAAGGTTCCTATACAAATAATGGCTTACAATGGAAGTTTAGTTTTATATTTTGTTAGGCATGCGCCTCACGCTTTGATCATTATTGATGTAAAATTGCAGACGAAATTTATAAAGAGAATTATTTGAACTCTTGCTTTCAGTAAACTACATAACAAATTAATGTGTAAAATCTTTGTGAATTAATTAATGTATGCATTTTATTTATTGAATAACATGTTTAATATCTTTTATTTTCTTCTTTTTCTTTACAAGCTATCAGTCACTTACGTTTAAAAAAAAAAAAAAGTGAATTATTGCCTCCAAAGATTCACTCCCTCAGAATGTACCTCAAAACATCTTTTGCCGTTTAAACATAATATTTGTCAAAAAGATCAAGTTAAGCCAGGCTCCCTTTCCCTCTCCACATACAAAGTGACCTTAATAAAATCTTATGAAAATAAACGTTACCTCGCCATAATCTAGCAGGCCAGGCTCCCCAGAGAAGGCTCCGGCTGCCCCTCCACCACTCACGGGTTGTCCTAGACCAGAGCCCGACGGATCCGACGTTAAGCTGAAAGATCGACCAAAACCGGCAACACCAAGGACTAGTTTCTCTGCTGGGAACCCGGCCTGAATCCACCCCAGAACAAATGTACGCTGCTCCACATGGTAGTGTTTGGCGAGTACGTCGTGGTTGTTATGTGGTTGTTGTTGGTGATACAGGACAATAAAATAATCAACAGTTTTGTATTAGCTGTGATGTAATCGGTAATATTAACAGTGCAAAATAAAAGCTAGGGAAATAACAAAATATATTACGTGAATGAAAGTAGTAGAAGTAGCAGTTCTGAATTCTTTAGAACTACGTGGTCTAAAACTCGAAAACTGTCGAGCTCAATCGTTCGACATTTACTGTCATATCTGGAATATTGTCAAGAATGTAGGCAAGACTCAACGACAGAAACCTGATCCTTTTCTTTTCCATGTTTAGCTTAACCTCTGAATCTAGTTGGCTCACAAGCTGTACAACAGCAATACGAATGCTCACAAGCAGTACAACAGCAACACGAATATTTGGTTCTATCCCAATATCTTCCCCTAAACAGACTGTCGACTATTTTAGGGGGTGGTAGATAGGCTGCATATAGTCGTGGGACCTAGGCTGCATGCAGTCGTGGAACCTAGGTTGCACTCTCTCGTGGGACGTAGGTGGGTTGGGAGTTAGTCCTAGTTCTAGCTGTTTTGGGCTAGTTATAAGCATTAGAAAGCCGGGAAACCCGCCCTTACCACCCAAGAAAATATTGGACTATTCTGTGACGTCATACTTAGAGAGAGAGAGAGAGAGAGAGAGAGAGAGAGAGAGAGAGAGAGAGAGAGAGAGAGAGAGAGAGAGAGAGAGAGAGAGGGGGGGGGAGAGATATTGGGAAAGCACTTATTTCTTTTTTTATTAGTTATTACAGTTTGTAAATTCTAAAGAGAGAACACCTTAAAATGTATTTTATGTTTTGCAAGTATGGCATTTAATCAAGTCAATAGTTCGATGGTGTGCACTGGCAGATGCTAGTAAGAGCTTGAATACAGACTGGAGAGCAATTTAAGAAAATGAAAAGGAAGAGTTAAATGTGAAGCTAAGGGTCTTCTTAGAAAGTAAAAAAGTACTGGTGTGGCATTCATGACATCAGTGTGGGTTTGTAGTCAATATCCAAAGACACAAAATAACACTGCTGGATACCGAAACTGGCAGTAGTGTGCCGACATGGACCAACTCGTCAAGGAGAAAGTTATGATAGTGACGTGAGTGACGTGAGTGACGTGAGGCAACTTTCACAATTATTACAGAAATGGATGCCGTTGTCTGAGAGCTAAAACATCAGCAGAGAACATGATACAATATATTTTTTTTCTGAAGCAAATAATATAATAAAGCAAGACGTTGCCTGCCCCAAGTCCGGATGAGAAAGGAGGAGGGTTAGCCGTGGGACCAGCTTCGCTATATTGTAAAATATTATTTGCTATAGAAACTTGCAGAAAAGGATGTCACTACAGTAAACAGACGAGTCAATGGGTGTGTGGTGCCTAAAGTGCATATTTTAAGGTTACATATGAAAGTCGCTCTGTATAGTGACCAGACATGCACACTACTTGACTCAAACAGGTTAGAACTATTGCGCTGTCAACCAAATTCGCCCAGAAGGCAGAAGAAATAAAGAGATACCAACCAGATATTTCAGGTTAAGTGAAGTTAGGTGGCCAGCAGCAGCAGGGATTAGTGGTCTTATCCTTAAAAATTCAAGGAGAGAAGATAAAAATCACTTGGAAGGAGTAGGCATCAAGATGACACCTAGAGCTGCAAAATGTCTGCTAGAATGGGAGTGAGTTTCTTTTTCTTCTCTTCGCCTCGCGGCGTCACAGCAGGATGATATTTCTGCAACGGGATTTCTTGTTCGCTTCGTATAAAGTACTTTTCAGTGTCTCTGATATTTCTGCGGCCCATCTTCTCGTAATTGACTTCTGGCTCTGTAACCACTGTATCCGTCTAACACTGCACTCTGTGGTGCTTTGTCTGATGTCAATCTTGTTATATAGCCTAACCATTTGATTTAGTGTCTATCTGTCAAGTTAGGTTATAATCGGTTTATGAGATCTCTTCATTTTTCTACCAGCTCTAAGTACGTAAGCCACTGTCGGTTCACTGGACCAGTCACAAACTTCCTAGAAGGTCATATTTGAACTAGACTATCACATTGAAAACAACGTCCATTCTCTTTCAAGCTTATTTCAAGCAAAATAATTAAAGATAGTTAAGTGTAAGACACATTAAAATGACCCCAATCCAGTGTTTTGACCCCACTAATGACGCTGAGACTGAGGATGAAGATCACTTTTATGAACAACTGCAGCATCAAGTAAATGGAATTGCTAAACATGAACTAGTAGTGATAATGGGAGATTTTAAGGCAAAAGTAGGTAGTGAAAATATGGGCGTTGAGCGATTTTGTATGCAAGTCAGATCTAGTAATTGAAGGCACCACCTTTCTCGTAAAGAGCTCGTAAATTAACTTCGTACTCAGCAGATGGAGTGGTTAAGAAACAAATAGACCACCTCTGTATAAACTACAAATATAGAAGCTCTTTGGTGGATGTCTGAGCATACAAAGGAGCAGGTGTAGGCAATGACCATATCTGATTTGTAGGTAAACTTCGTCATGTAAAAGTAAAAGAAGAGTTCCACTTTCAGCTAAAAAATATATTTAAAGCACTTTGAAGTAGAGGTATATCAGAGCATTTAAAAAAAAAAAACTGAATAATGTAAAGACTACAGTTTTAGAGGCAGCAACGATCAGTGCAGGACTAAAAAAAGATACATACATACATACATACATACATACATACATACATACATACATACATACATACATACATACATACATACATACATACATACATACATACATACATACATACATACATACATACATACATACATACATACATACATACATACATACATACATACATACATACATACATACATACATACATACATACATACATACATACATACATACATACATACATACATACATACATACATACATACATACATACATACATACATACATACAGACATACATACATACATACATACATACATACATACATACATACATACCATACATACATACATACATACATACATACATACATACATACATACATACATACATACATACATACATACATACATACATACATACATACATACATACATACATACATACATACATACATACATACATACATACATGACATACATACATACATACATACATACATACATACATACATACATACATACATACATACATACATACATACATACATACATACATACATACATACATACATACATACATACATACATACATACATACATACATACATACATACATACATACATACATACATACATACATACATTACATACATTACATACATTACATACATTACATACATTACATACATTACATACATTACATACATACATACATACATACATACATACATTACATACATTACATACATTACATACATTACATACATTACATACATTACATACATTACATACATTACATACATTACATACATTACATACATTACATACATTACATACATTACATACATTACATACATTACATACATTACATGCATTACATGCATTACATGCATTACATGCATTACATGCATTACATGCATTACATGCATTACATGCATTACATGCATTACATGCATTACATGCATTACATGCATTACATGCATTACATGCATTACATGCATTACATGCATTACATGCATTACATGCATTACATGCATTACATGCATTACATGCATTACATGCATTACATGCATTACATGCATTACATGCATTACATGCATTACATGCATTACATGCATTACATGCATTACATGCATTACATGCATTACATGCATTACATGCATTACATGCATTACATGCATTACATGCATTACATGCATTACATGCATTACATGCATTACATGCATTACATGCATTACATGCATTACATGCATTACATGCATTACATGCATTACATGCATTACATGCATTACATGCATTACATGCATTACATGCATTACATGCATTACATGCATTACATGCATTACATGCATTACATGCATTACATGCATTACATGCATTACATGCATTACATGCATTACATGCATTACATGCATTACATGCATTACATGCATTACATGCATTACATGCATTACATGCATTACATGCATTACATGCATTACATGCATTACATGCATTACATGCATTACATGCATTACATGCATTACATGCATTACATGCATTACATGCATTACATGCATTACATGCATTACATGCATTACATGCATTACATGCATTACATGCATTACATGCATTACATGCATTACATGCATTACATGCATTACATGCATTACATGCATTACATGCATTACATGCATTACATGCATTACATGCATTACATGCATTACATGCATTACATGCATTACATGCATTACATGCATTACATGCATTACATGCATTACATGCATTACATGCATTACATGCATTACATGCATTACATGCATTACATGCATTACATGCATTACATGCATTACATGCATTACATGCATTACATGCATTACATGCATTACATGCATTACATGCATTACATGCATTACATGCATTACATGCATTACATGCATTACATGCATTACATGCATTACATGCATGTAATGCATGTAATGCATGTAATGCATGTAATGCATGTAATGCATGTAATGCAGTAATGCATTACATGCATTACATGCATTACATGCATTACATGCATTACATGCATTACATGCATTACATGCATTACATGCATTACATGCATTACATGCATTACATGCATTACATGCATTACATGCATTACATGCATTACATGCATTACATGCATTACATGCATTACATGCATTACATGCATTACATGCATTACATGCATTACATGCATTACATGCATTACATGCATTACATGCATTACATGCATTACATGCATTACATGCATTACATGCATTACATGCATTACATGCATTACATGCATTACATGCATTACATGCATTACATG